TTGCAGGCTCCGAGTCAGTCCCTGCACCGCTGGATCAATTTCTGGTGAAGGTAGGGTGAAAACGGGGTTGAATTTGTCATTGTATCAAGTTCTCCGGGAAATGGACAGTTCAAGTGTTGGATTCATCACAGCACCGATTACTTCAGGAGAGACCAGGTCAGCCCGCAGAACGCTGGGGTCAGAGGTCTGGGGCGTCAGTCTGCGCGCCCAGAAAATATGCAAATACAAGCAGCCTCTACCGTGAGCACTGGGACTTAGTAAAGGACAAAGCTGCCGCCAGCCGTCCTTGCCCTTGGGAGACGTCAGTGTTTGCTTCAAGGACAACTCCCTGGGGGGCTGGGGGAAGGGCGGGGCGAAAGAGGGTCGGGCACCTCAGATCCCTGGGTCCTCTAGGCTTTAATAGCAGGTGCAAAGGCAGCTGCTAAAAGACATCGCATTCTGTAATCAGCTCCTGCCAGGCCGTCCTGCTAGACAGAAACTCCCACCATTTTGGCCAGACAGCTGTAGGGCTGAGCGGGTGCCAGTGGTAGGAGGGCGCCCTTAAGAGCCACCCTACCCCGTCCGGAACTTGCACTGGCACCGTCCCGGCCGCTGTTGTTGCTGTAGAGAAGCTGCGCCCTGGTGCAGGGACGCAGCAAAGAAGCGACCGCCTGCGGAAGGCTTTCCAGGCGGAATGCTTCAGCCGTAGCGAGTTGGGAAATTTAGAGTGGGGAGGGGGCAGTAGAGACGTTAACTGGCCCCTCCTCACCCCAAACAAGGAAAGCACAAAGTCTTCTGGGCTAAAAATACATATTTATAAAGTCCCTGTGCGCAGGCGGGCGGCGCGTTCCAGCTGCCGGCCTGGCCCAGGGAGGACTTGGCCGCGCGGCCGCCGATTACACCCAGCTCGGCTGGGATGGCTCCGAGCCGTCTGCCCTGACGTCAGCGAGGCTCCGGCCCCGCCGCTGCGAGATAGGCGAGAGCGGCCGGGCGCGGGCGCGGCACTAATCACTCCCAGATGTCCCTAATAGCGGAGATAAAGACCGACAGAGCGGCCGGGAATAAATTTGTAATCAGGGCTCTACCATCTGATCATCAAAGCGGCCCAAATGCCGGGAGCATTTGAAGGGAATGTGTGTGTAGGGGAGTCGCGTTGGGGGAGGTGAGGGGTGCGCCTAGCTATGGGAACTGGCTTCGGCAGGATAGAGCGGGGAGAGCAGGGCGAGAGATCTGTAAGCTCTGTGCACGGAAGTCAGATACCCAGTGCTCTTTAACCTCCAATAGCCCGCGACCGAAACCGCTTAGCGGTTCCAGGCTGCTTGGAGCTGGGCACAGTTGCTGTGCGGGAAACACGCGTGGAACAGCGGCTGGGTGGTAAGGCGGCGCGCTCAGAACTGTCCGGCCCCCGGAAACGTGAGATTGGTTTCCTCTCCCGGAGTTCCCCCTCCCCCTTCTTTCTAAACATTTAAAAAACACGTAGTCCTTCTCCCCCAACCCCCATTCCCGGTAGACTTAATCCCAACGGCAATTCCTTGCACCGTGGAGCTTCCGCAGGGAGGGGGCTGTTGGAGCTTCCAATCAGGGTCTCGGGCCCCGGGCTGAGGGTGACTCCTGGGTTTTTCTCTCCAAGAGATCCGCAGGCTCTGACGGGCCAAGAGTCCTGTGCGTCCGGGAGACTCCTTAGCACTCCCTCCTCGCGTGGAGATATGGACTCTTAGGAGCTGGGCCCAATGGAGGGAACGGGTGCCCTCAGGTCACCAGGGTCCAGATTCGGCCCCCTACGGTGCCCACGCCATAAACCTCCCTCGAGACCATCTCTGCTTGGCACCCACTAGCCAGTTCCTTTCCCAAATCTGGGAGCGTAGTTGGGACTCACAGGCAGGGAGAACTCAAGGCAGCTGTGGAAAACAAAATCGCGTGCCGCCCGCGCAGCGTTTGGTTAAAGCTTCAGGGATAACTGAGTGGTTTCTTGCGCTTTGCAAATCCGCAGTGTATATCCTGTCCCAGTTTTCCTGGCACCCTTTGTCCCGCTCATGTCCCTTGCACACACACCTAAGGCCCTTACAACTGGCCCGAGTTCTCGCTGCAAATCTGTAGTGTGGGAAGGAGCTCCTAGGTCTCCTACTCCCTGCGGCTTTGCATTTCAGCTCACCCTCACCTTCCTCCTTTCTGCGAATTCCAGGTGCGCCCACCTCTCTTGTTCTCCTGCTACTTCACCAGTCCAAGTGGGAGACTAGCTCTGCAATTCACGCCAAGCTGGGGCAGCGACCAGTAGAGTCGGATGGAAGGAATTGGGCCACCCTCCATTCCTGACACAGGACACATGCACAAGTGCTTTTTCTAAGAGGCTCCCAGGCTGTGCTCTCTGGCACTGCTGCTACACCCACCTCATCACAACCAAGCAGCCTGGTCCTCTTCCACCTAAGGAGGCAGCCCAGACCACAGGCCCACCCTTCCTAGATGCCTCGGCCTTCTGGTGAACTGATCCAGAAAGCTGGAGCTTCCCACCGAGCCCCAGAGGGTGGCCCCGCGATTTAGAAAGCAAGAAGGATCCCCAGTGATCTTGCTGTTATCTTGGGGTCTCGGCCTGAAAAAGCCTTTCAAGTTGCTGCGGGTGCACGGGCAATTGAGAGCAGGGCCCCCACTCTGCAGTTTCCCAAATTGCTTCCCAAGCTGAGAATGAGTCTGCAGACACACACACACACTCACTCTACAACTGACCGAGCCTTTGCCCCGCCGGTGCTCCAGGGTTATCAGGCGCTTGGCCTGCACAGGGTCTGGGGCCGAGCCCTGACAGCCAGATCTACCATCAATTTACCTTCCGCCGAGGCAGCTTCCCAATTAGCTTTTAACGTCAAATCCTACATTTTTGTCGGCTCCGGCCTGTCTAGAACGCTTGTGATTTCCCTGCAGGAGTGATTGCTCTTAACAAAATGGCAGCAACCACATTATTCGAGCAATTAAAACAGAGGCCTTTTAGCCGGTCCCACAAGTAGAGGCTTGGAGAAAAATTTTAAACAAAGAAGAAAAAGTTAAAAGAGAAATAAGTGTTGGAAGAGAAAAGCATGGAAGCAGAAGAAACGCCTGTCCAGTACGCCTTTCACTTTCTGGGACTTGACAACGTAGGGTGGGGATGTTGAGTGACTGAGAGCGTTGGATGCACAGGCGGCTGGGGTGACAGATAATCTGGGGTGTCCTGCCGGTTTCTGGTCAGTCGGGGTGTGCGTCTGGTTAGGGGTTTCAGCCGCCTGGAGTGTCAGGCAGCTGGGCATTCTGCTGTCTGGTCTGCTGGGTGTCTGGCTGGTTAGGGTTTCTGGAGAGTTGAAATGGCAGGGCGGATGGGGTGTCCGGGTCTGGTGCTGCTGGCCCTGAGGAAGCCGCGGCGCAGAAGGAGGAGCAGGCAGGCTGCGCTGGGCAGGGGCCAGACAAAGAGGAGCGCAAGTTTAAAAAGCACGTGTATTAGCAAGTTTCTCCATAGCCATGGTGCACCGGCATCTTTTGGCTTCCCTCTGTTGGTGTTTATTAAGCCAGAAAAAGTGTTAAACCTGCAGAAGTGCCTTAAGGCCCAGATGGCGGAGACCAGCTACCCAAGGCGCACAGAGGCGTCCGGAGAAGATAACTCCTCTCCGGTTCCTGTTTTTAAAACCTCACCTCCTCTACCACTGTTTACTCCAACACTTTGGTAGGCTCGTTTCTTCCAAGTCTAGGACCCGATGGCTTTCTCCTGAGCGGATTAAAATAAAGACGCAGAAAACAACTGGAAGCAGGAGATGAAGAGAGAGCCACTCAAGCAAATGTGGGAGGATTGGGAGAGCAACAGAAAATCAGGGCGCGCCTCCCCCACACCTCCTCCCCGTGCAATAAACAAAGGCAAGTGTCTGTAAACACAGCCCTGCGCCCACCAGGTCGGCCCAGCGCCGGCTGACCCAAGGGGAGAAAGTTCAGATCGCTTTGACCGAGTTGTTCTAACCCCTCACCCTCGCGTTGTCAGCCGCCACAGAAGTCAGCAGAGCCTCTTGCTTGTCTCTCCCCGGGCACTTCTGAATTCGCCCACGCCGGGTCTGATTCAGCCCGCTGCAGGCGGAGGGGTCATAGTGGGCACAAGCGAGGTGTGGGAACCCTTAGGATATCGCAGGAAGGTCTGTGCCAGCGGCCCAGGTGCAAACATCACCCTGAGGATGGGTTCCAGGATGGAAACACTCTGACAAGCCTCTCCAAACACCAGATTTATATACACGACGTTTCATGAAATAAACCACTTTTTAATATGGTTCACCTTTCTCTCTTTCTCTTCCCCTTCCCTCAGCCTGCACAGTCAGACACTTTAGTTTCTCTGGTTTCTAGAGCTGAGATTCGAGCTTCTGCCAAGGCCGCAGGCCAAGGAGGCTGCTGGGACTTTCTTTTGGGACGAGCTGGGACTCTGGGAACTCAAAGACCCAACAGGGAGAAGTCCCGGGTCCGGGCTGCTGGTGTAGTCCCGGGAGGGTGTCGCCTGTTCCACTGGGCTGCGGCCGGGAAGACTTCAGACACCGCACAGTTAATATTGAGTTCGCTATAACTCCTTGTAAATCTAACCCGCCCCTCGCCCCCCTTTAAAATCGTGGTCTTGTTAGCGATTTCTTACTTGACGTAAAATTCCTTGTTACCTAATCATGGCCTTTTTCGAAACTCCTTCCACCCCCTTTCTGCCTGCTCAGATGAGAATCCCCTGTATAGCATACAAGCAAAGCCTCTCTTTTTTCCTTTCTTGGATGAAAGTCCCATAGTTTGAATTAAACACCCCAGACTAGTTCCCGCTGCAGTAATACCACCGGGGTCCTCCTCACAGCTCCTCCACCAGAAACTCACTCTCCAAACAAAAACTGACGCCCTCATGAAACGGCTTCTGATTAATTTCAGGGAAGCAAGGGCACCTTTGCACCTTCTGAGCGAACTGCGGACACTGGATTCTCCAGCCCAGGTCCTCCTTCTAGAGACCACTCAGTGTTCTCCAGCTGGGGGAAGAGGGAAGGAGACACCACACCAACAGAGCCCAGCAGGCTTTGCAACAAGGACACTTTAAGAGCACCTTCTCCCCCTGCGTAGACCGCAGGTCAGGTTGGCTGGTTGGAACCACTGAGTCTTTAAAATAAAGTTAGAGGCAATCATGATAATTTAGTTTACTTCTGAATATTTTAAATATTATGAAAACAAGTATAACAGCTTTGTTTTCAAAACTCTTTTGAGGTATCAACCATGAAAAGATTAGGGTTTTTGTAAAAAAAAAAAAACACACACAGTGGTTTATTGAATACTTACAACGTTTACACCTTCAATATTAATTAAATTCCATTTAGTTTTAGAGGACGGAAGTGCACAAAACAAGTGGCTGTTGGAAACATCTTCAAAGAGGGAACGACCACAGATGAATGGACAGCACTAGATACCGACCCCAACGGAAATGTTAGCGGCCTTGTTTTCGGCTTTGAAATAAAACTTTATAATCCCCAGGAATATTTATATCCAAAGGCCAAGTATTAAAGATACACTTCACAAACACACTAGTGCCCACTGTCTTTGTCTGGAAGGGGTTGAGTAGGTAGGGCGGGGGCAACGCTGCTGTCTACACAGCCAAGAGGGAACATTCACACACACAGAATCTACGAGACGACGGGATCCCTTACCACACACGGGAGTGTCCTCTTCATATTAAAATATGGAATGCTTTTCTTCAAATATCCACTTTTTCTTTTGGAGGGGGAGATGGTGAGCGGATGCCTCAAAGGGGGTCAAAGAGAGGGGAAGGAAATTGCACATAAATAAACCGGATGATTCCAAATGCAAGGAGTCCTCAGAGCGGAGCACAGACAGCTTTTCCGGAGTGGTAGGTCTGCATCTGGCGCCTTGGCCAGGGCTCACTCGCGCTCTCCTCCTCCTCCTCGTTCTCCTCCTCCTCACTGCTTGAGCTCCAGGGCCCAGACGTGCTGCGGCCAGCCCGTCCGGCCTTTAGTTTTCTTGTCGTTGCTGCTCACTGTGCTTTTCAAGATTTCGTTCTGGGCAGAGGGAAGGCGAGGGTGAGAAAAGTGGAAAGAGAAATTCAGAGAGCATACCTTGTGCCACACTACCCCGGTGCTTCCTGGGCCGGAGGAGACCTTGAACCAGGGAGGAAAGAATACTAGCGGGGAGCTCCAGCCCCTGCAGAGAATCTACAAAGGTTAGCGCTACCCTAGCCTGCTCCTAGGCCTCCTTGCTGCAGTGCTCAACTACCAGATCCACAAGTTTATAAACAACCGTCCGTTTTCGAGTCGTTTATGGAGGAGCTGGGGGCCTTTTCTCTTACTCCAGATGTAGGAGCGGGAGCTGGAGTCAGCGCTTAGTCTGGTTTTTCTGTTTTCAATAGCAATCCCAGATCCACATCTAGGAAAAATAGGGAGAAGGAGCCTCTGGTTCGGCCTGGGCCTCTCGGCCACAGGCTCTCGGTCCCTGGCTCAGCAGTGCCTCTCCTCCAAAGGCCTCTGAAATCTCTGGTTATTCGGGAGTTCACTCGATTATGCAGCCACCAAAGGGCTACAGAGGCTAAAGAAGAAAAACTCAACAAATGCAATTATTTTCCGGGCCCTTCGTGGCCATAGCTCTATCCTGCACCACCGTCCTGTGGGCACTTGGTAGCAATCTGAGAAAACTGTAAACGGCTCCGTTTACTTTCGTGTTATTTTTTTAATAACAATGACCATAGTAATGCTTTTTTCCCATTAAAATGTACAGGCTCATTCAAATAAAACTAGAAATGCCCATGGAATATATTCATCTCAGAAATTACATTTTAACGTCATAGCCAAAGAAAAATTGGAGCTGTATTTTGAAGCCCAAAGTACTTATTTTATGTTTACCATTACGTCGTCCGGGCAGAGTAATGAGAACTACCACAAAACTCAGGGCTCAGTCTCAGTGGCAGCCTCCTTCTGGGGATGGGGTAGGGGGTGCGATCAACAGTGGTCATTGGGATCAAGGGCTTCTTCAAGACTTATTCTGGAAACATCTGAAAGCAAGATCGGATTGGAGGCCAAAAGAAGGGTCTAACAGATACGGGGTGAGGCATCTAGGCCAGTGTGATTGCGGTCGATCGTGACCCAGAGTTTTCTAGGTCCCTCCTAAGTGCCTAGGGAGCAGTGACAACCCGGAGGTAAGATCACCAGCGCAAAGCATCCTTAACCTTCTCCTCCTCCTGCTGACAACCTCCTCTCATCTCCCTGCTCCTGCCGGAAACCATCCTCACACAACCTGGTGCAAACAACCTTGGCGCCGGATGCACGAGATGCCATTTCCAGCCCTACTGGAAAGAGGCCGGGAGCACCGGTCCGCTGACCCCTCAGCCCCACCGCGCGCCGCCCCCTGGTACTGACCAGCTCCTTCTTCCTCTTCTCCTCTTTCACGTCGGTCTTCTTGATCTCCGCCTTGAAGGCCTCCGCCTCGCCATTCTGGTCGTCCTTGGCCAGCAGGTCCATGAGGTAGGCGATGTAGCTGGTGGCCAGGCGCAGGGTCTTGATTTTGGAGAGTTTGGTGTCGGCGGGGACGTTGGGGATGCACTCGCGCAGTTCGGCGAAGGCGCTGTTGATGCTCTGAGTCCTGCGCCGCTCCTTGCGGTTGGCGGTGCCTCGGCGCTTCACGGGGCGCGGCCCCCCCAGGCCCGGGGGCCCGGCGCCCGGCGGCACCCCCCCGTAATGGGAGTGGTCCATGCCGGCGGCGCCGCTGGCATACTCGGGGCTGTAGGACAGGGCCATGCTGTAGTCGGGGGGCGACATCTCGGGGTGGCCGATGAGCCAGCCGTGGAAGTAGGGGTTGTCCTCATGGCTGCAGCGGCTGGCGGCGGCAGCCGCAGCTGCGGCGGCGGCGGCGGCAAACGGGTAGCCCTCGTGGTGCACCACCGGGTGGTGGGGAAAGCCGCCCACCAGACTCATTTCGCCCTCTGTGCCCCTCCACACGCCCCAGCGTGCGTGCAGCCCCGCCGCGCCCTCCGCCCGGGCCCTCGCCTCGGCGCTGGGCGTCCTCCCCCACCCCCCACCCCCCAGCCCCCGGGCGCCCGGGCCCGCCCGGCAGCCGCAGAGGGGGCTGCTGCAGCCCGGGCCCCGTCCCCGCGCCTGGCCAGCCGGGCCTGCTTCAGCAGCGCTGCGGCCGCTGACTCCCCATGGGGCGCCGCGAGCTGGTCCCGGCACCGTGCGCCCCTGGCCGCCGCCGCCGCCGGCTCCCGCCTTGCTCCACGGCCCGCGCTCCTGCTGCTGCTTTCCGGGCTGCTACGCAGAGGTAGAATCCTCTCGTGCTCATACAAAGGTGCCGGGGTTCCCGCGAGGCTGCTTCGCAGAGTCTCGGGAATCCACGCCCCGGCAGCGTTCCTGGCCCCGAAGCTAACCCGAAATCCAGGGGCGAGTCTGAGCAGCGGCTGGAGGAGCCGGTCTGGCTGCGCCGGGAGGCGGCGGGGTCGACTGCTCACTGCAGAGCTACCTCCGTGCGACCCTCCCCGTCCCGCCTCTTCCCCTCCCCCCACCAGCCCGTCTGGGTTCTTGGGCGCTTATTGTTTTAATGGAATTTTTGGTTGTTGTTGTTTTGGTCCTTAAATGTGATTTTAGCTGTGAGTAACTTGTCCTCGCTCGTCTCGGGCTCTCTCGGAGGGTTTTCAGAGAGGTCTCAGTGCATCCATTTTCTCAGATCCTCTCCTTTCGGGGCAAGGATCTGGGGCCCTGAATGCGCCTTGGAGCTCGAAGGCGGCGGCTTGGGCTCTTGGAGGGCTCTGCGCGGTGGCCGAGGAAGCTCCTGGGTAGTGGCGATGGTTCTCCTGAGCCGGACGACGTGAGGGGAGCCAGCGGATTTTCCCAGCAAGATCTCCATCTACAGCTACATCTTTAGGGCCGCTCGGGTTAATATATGTCGTCAGAGGCTCCTAGCGCCAATCCCCGGGCGGCGGGGGCGGCGGGGGCGGCGCCTGGAGCTCTCCGCAATAAAACTTTTTGATGTTCACGTTCCTAATTGGCGAGGTCCTCTTCCAGGATTGGCTGCCTCCTCATAACCATAAGATAATTAAAACTTGGGGGGAGGGCAGGGTTAAAAAAACTTTTTTTTTTTTTTTTTTTTTTTATCAGCAGAGGATAATGCAAGTGTTTAACAGATGCTTCGCTATTAAACTATTTTTTCCCCCAAGTCTCAAATATTGAAGAATCTCTAACCAGGTACAGTATCACTCTGCTTTCTTTTCCAGTTAAAAAAGAAAGAAAGAGAACGCAGGTATTGCTTTTCAAGTGCTTTGTAGGTAATGGAGGCAAGAAAATAGACGCAGGCAGCTTCTTACAATTTTATGCAGGGGGCCCCGGGAGCCTAGTGGCAGGCAGTGGGGGCCCCCACTAAGGTGCGGATAGGAGACCCGCTGTCTCCTTGCCCCGGGGGCGGCAGCGACAGGGAGGGGCTGGAGAAGGGTGTTTCTTTAACCTGTTTACAGGCTGGAAACGCTGGTCTCAGTGGCTATTGACTAACCCACCCTGTTACCCCGGTTAGAGCTGTTTGGGGTGGCTCACGTTACTGCGGCAAACTTTGGAGATAACGGCTGGGTCCTCCGGGCGCACGATCAAGCCGATTGTAAACCTGTTATTTCCACATCCTTCAGGGACAGCAGCCCCAACGAAGACCTCGGCAGATTGCAAAGTGCGGGCACCTCGATTCCCCGAATCTGTAGTGTGGCTGGTATCGGTGTTCCTCTGGTTTAACTAGCCTGTTTGGTAAGTAACTGAATATTTTTTACAGCGTGTTCAGAGCTTATTTTCCAGTTTTTATGAACAAACATATAAATACATCTCTGCATTCCTGCCTCCCTCATAAAAGCGGGCATCTGTGGAAAGCAGGTTTAGTTATCGAAGGGGAACCATTAAACGCCAGTTTAAGAGGCAGGCCGGGAGGACGGCTCGTGGATGTTTAGACTGCCGGCCTTGCTGATCTTGAACGCATTATAACGGAAAATGGATCTCCTCTTGTAAGTCACCGGCCGCGGGGCACCCGGGCCGCAGCGCCCGCGTGGTGGGAGCTTCTTGGGAAGGCTCGCGTGCGGCGAGGGGCGAGGGCGGGTGGTCAATGGCAGGAGCCGAAATCACCCCAGGCTTGGCCCTAGCCGAAAGGGGAGGCTGATGTGTATATATAGATTCCACCCAAAGGAATTCGGTGTGGAAAACAGTGTCAACAGGAGCCCGCCGGCTGTAAATTAGAGGGAGGCGAGGACAGTGTGAGGGGCGCTGGCGCGGGACGGGGCGGCCTGGGGCTCGCCGCTGGGCAGGCCAGGGTAGCCCAAGGGAGACCAAAGACTCCACTTCGGGCATCGCCCTTTGGAGGCGGGCAGAGTCCAGCCGCAGGCCGCAAGGCGAACCCCACCTGAAGGACTCCACAAGGACGGTCCTTTCCTTGCTCGCCGCAGCCGACAAAGTGGTTCCGGCTGGAAGGCGACATCAGTGCTAGTGGAGGGCGCCCCATTGGCTTTGTGGTTGACTCTGAACTCAGGCCCTGCCCTCCACTAGTCCTAGAGTCTTGGGCAGCAGGTTTGAGAAAGACATGTATTTAGGTTTGCTGTAGCTGCCCTGTAGGAGAGAAGGACTTAAAAGCCCAGGATGAGAGTTGTGTAGGGTCCATTCCATTTCTATGTAAGGGTTTAACATTCTCAAACCACCACCACCCACCACCACCACCACCCACCACCCCCGGCAAAGCATTCAATGCCTTGAGGCAGAATAGGGAGTAACTGAAACCAGGCTCCTTGGTAAGCGCCAGGGGCTTGCAGTTGAGCTGGGAACAAAATAGTGACCTACATACAGCTCTAAACCCCCAACTTGTGTGGGTCTGCAGATTTGAGCAGCTTAAATCTGCTGCTCTACAAGGAGAGCTTTTTAAAGACCTAGTTCTTCAAGGAAAGAATACAGGTAGTGTGGTTGGGGGTTTTGTTTACATTTTCACCCGGAGGCAAACCCTGAATGTGTAAATACTGGTAGTTCAATTCTCTGACATTTGATACGTTTTTGAAAAGTCTGTTTATAAAAACACTTTTAGGCCTTGGGAGCAGGTAGACAAAGTAAGGTTGCACTGGGCTGGGAACATATAAAAATTCAGGGAACTTAGTTGGTTGGCTGTGTTCAGGCCCAGAGGGAGTTTTGAGAATTTAAGGGAAGAAGAAGAGTCTAGAGGAGGGCCGAGTTGGGGATTGAGATGCTCTGTCCACCAGAGGCAAGCGGTGAGTGCCTCACTTTTGAAGGCTTCAGAATTTGCCACTTTAAGCCCTTCTCATGCTTTTAATTGAAACAAACAAACAAACAAACAAACAAAAACGAGTGAATTGCTTCATGGCCCCAGATAGCATTGGAAGTGGTAAAGTAAATGAGCAACTTGATACAGAAAAAAGAAATCATAAAAGATGCACATCAGTTCTCACTGGCAGTGTCATTATTTTCAATACAGATAATAATTAACTGTATTATCAGTTAATTGCTGTGGTCCAAGGGCCTAAGATGATATAGCTCAGAAACCCAAACCCCGAAGCCACTGCCTTAGAAAGGTGGCTTGATGAGAGGGGACAAATGGGTGAACCTTAGTGGTATCCCCACTGGAGTAACTGACTCAGGGAGGCCAGGCTGGTCCTGACTGGTTGAGCTCTACCCTAAATGCACAAACAGATCCATTTTTCTCTTGCAATGTCCTGTGGCCTATTTTGCTCCAGGTTTTCCAGGATACTGGGCTAGCATGCTCTGTTGGAAAGATGGGAAGCAAAAGATGCCATCTCAAGTTTGCCCCCAATTTAGGTTTCCCCGGGCATCCTGGTGGTAGTGACGGCGGTGGTGGTAGTGGTGGCGATGAAGGAGAGGGTGGTGTTGGTGTTGAGAGGGAATGTGGGAGAAGTAAGGGAGAAAGGCACAGTCCCTGAGGTCAGCACGGGGATCCCACACCTGAGCTACACCAGTGTGGCCGCTGGTGTACAGGTTCGAAGTACTCAAAGACCCAGGAAACTGGCCTGCTTGGGGCTCCTCTGCATGCCTGTGGAAGAATTCTAACTAGGGGTGCTTCTCTGTCTCTCCTTGGAGGCTGAGGGCTGGCTGAAACCGGTCTCATCTGGGTCCAGAAACTGCTTCACAAGGAGGCAGCCTGGGTTGGGGTGAGTGAGGGTTTGGGATACTATGTCTTCATTGTAGTTGATAGTGCACCTATAGTGCTGTGCATATCATCTACCTTCAGCCAGATAGATTCAGGTTCAAACATTTATTTTGTTCCTCATGTCACTCGTCTCTTTGCCATCACTGCTACTGCTTTCCCTGGAAAAGATTGGAAGAGCACCAGAGGGACTGAGCACGCCCTTGCTAACATTTCGGTCTTGTGAGATATTATTATACTTTAAAATATCAGTCTGGTTTAAACTAATTTTAAGAAGTCTTCAGTTAGGTTTTAACTAAAGATTGTCTCAGGGTATTTATTATTTCAAAGGCAAGGGCAGTTTTTATCCTCTGTTTTGCTCACAAGACCTCAAAATAAACTAGACCCAAAAAGAATCAGGCCAAAGGGTCATAAATGCACATTTTATATTCATGGGAATTATGGCTCAATTCTCATCATCGTCTTTCAAATCTCGTTTCACTTTGGTTTTCTAACCAACATAGTGGAAGTGACTCTGACCATTCCCTTCAGAATCTTTAATCCTCTTACATGAGATGAGCCTCAGAACATGCTAAGAACCTCTGAAAGAACATCAAGCCTGGAAGGTGACAGAAGGAGCAAGAGGTTCTTGAGGATGTCACCTCAGCCCACCTGCTCCAAGGACGGTGCTTCTTGTGACACTGTGATGGCTCTGCATTCCTCTCTGTACCAGGGTGGGGTGGAGTCATTTTACATGTTATCCACTTAGTCCCAGGATGTTTAGGACGCCCAGAACAAGGCATATTGTCTGAGTGGTGGCAAGGGTCTCCCTCTAACTGGGGTTGTGTAATCCTTCCCTTTCTTGTTTGCCTTTGGGAAATGGTTGTCTACAGACATAGCAAGTGAAAGTGGCTCTAGGAATGTGCTGCTGCTCAAAGCACACATCTGCAAAGCAGAATCAAATTCTATTGGATTTGCGTGACTATTTTTAAAAAGGAAGGGCAGGAAAAGCTGCCCTTGTGTCTTGTGAGGATTTTTCCTTCTTCTTTTAAGCAGGTTTTGGATTTTGGGGTAGGGAGTGTTGTATTTAGTGAGTGGATCCTCTTCCTTTTCCTTTCCTACATGGAGAGATGGAGGGGGGAGGGGCTAGTTCAGCTGAAAGATGACCGTGGAGGGGCTGATTGCTTATAAATCCTTCAGTCCAGCTCTGATTAGAAAACAGTTAAGTCGGTGGAGAAAATCAGGGTTGCTTAGTGTCTGCACTTTCCCTTCTCCTCTTTCTCCTCTCCCTCCTTCCCTTCTTTCCTCTCTCCACCCTCCTCCCTCCCTCTCCCTCTTCTTCTCTCCGTTTCTCCCTTGTAATTTGTCCCCTAGCAGCATTTGGGATTACAAGGTGTTTTCTTCCCCCATCACTGAATCTGCAACTAGTGTGGAAGAACGAAATTCTGGTTCACACTGAAGTCTTTTAAGACAAATCTTAATATCCACGGTCATTAGAATTTTCCTTTCTTTCTAAATAATCAATGACTAGATCCCCATATTAACTGATAGATCTTTTGATGCACTGGAGGGTTTTCATCGATAAGGGACAACTAAATATTTTGCCAGGTATCCAAGTGTGTCTGCAAGTCTAGAGTACTTATTCAGACTAAAGGGACCATAAGATAACCCCATGAAGGCCTCAAAGAAGCAGCATGATGTAGATACATGGAAGGTATTATTAATGTTATTATACTAGTCCTAAGAGGTACAGTAAGTCTAAGCTTTGCTGATCTTTGCTACTTTGTAGTAAAATACAAAGTTTAAAGCAAAACCAGTGTGAGAACATACATCCCATAGGATTTATGTTAAATACTCATTCAAATTATTGTTTCAAGCAAATTGCATGCACACTAGTGATATTATCTTCCAAGCCGAGCCGGGAAGAAATCACTCAACATTCAGATAAGGAAGTGTGATTTTGCATATGTGTTCTATGGAAATAGTAAGTAATGGTCTTCACCTAATTTGCAATGTATTATGGGGTTCAGAATAAAATACAAGTGCAAATGGCAATTTAAAATGGGGCTTGGGAGAGAAAACATTTATGTTACTGAAAGATTTGCTTCTGACTTGAGGCCCGGGGACATTCCTAGTTTTAACTGTAGTGTTGCATTCCTGGGAAGTTCTGTTCCATAGCCTCCTTTTCAAATTCACATAGATGGATTTCTTTAGCTCTGACAGTTTCCTCCAAACCTTTCCTACATCATTCCAGGGCCCTTGCTTATAGACAGGGGAGTTACACCAGGATGGTTAGGTTTCAGGTTAACAAAAAGAAACACTTTTATTGTCAATATTAATGGCAAACCTCAATTTTTACAAGGCTTGGATTTAGCAGTGTGAGCAGATCAAAAGCAGCTTGGTTTGATTTCTCAATATTCTCTGGAGCTTAGACAATTAACTGCAATTTTGCTGTTAACAAAACAACACAAAAAAAGTTAGTTATAGAAGTGTTATAGGTAATCTTTTGGCAGAGACTTTAACCTGAACACAACATATCAGAAACTAAAAAATGTATCTACTGAACTTGAGTTGAGTTTTGCAGGAAAAGTCCTTAAGAAAATGTTGCGTGAACTGTGTCCTCCATTGCAATGTCATGAGCCTGTTTCAGTATGTGCATTCCAGTCTTGCCTTTCTGGCTGGGTAAGAATTCGGCAGACTGAGGTCTCCCTGGTAATTTGGGTACACCGAGTCTCCAGTTAATGATAGATAATCAGCCTTTGGGTCATTCGGTCATTCTCTTATTACAAACCCCTCCTGCTCTCTCTGATCTCCTTTCAAACTAAATTTCAAACAAACAAATAAAGCAAGACAGGGACAAGTTCTTAAAAAAAGAGAGAGAAATATTAGAAACGCCTGATACAGAACTCTAAACAAGGGAAGGCAAGCTAAAAGAGGATAGGAAAGAACATCTTATCAAAATGAACATGTTGTGTACAAAACATTAAAAGAAAAGGCTCTGGTTTCTGTTAAAGTGACAGAAAATTAAAATAAAAATAATTGCAGGCAGCAAAGTTATAAACAGAGAAGGCAGGATGCTAGCTGGAAATGCGCAGCACTAGGGGGCTAATTTGTTGTTGCAGATTATATATCTGCACCATGATTGGAGAGGTGCTACTTTGCTCCATTTTCCAGAGGAGAATGGTTTTTCTTTTTAATACTTGCGTGAGTGCCCCCTTAAGTTAACACAGGCCACAACTTTGAGGAATGAGAAATGGAATTGCATTCTGCTTGCAAAGCATCCAACTTCAAATGAAGAAATTGGGTTGTGTACAAAAAAAAAAGCAGAGTTTCATTCAGAATACATTTGGAGACTTCACTAAATTGGTGTGACTGATGCTTTTTTGTTTTGCTGACAGAATGTGCAGATCATTCATGGGGAAGTATAACTGGAACCAGTCCTCCCCACCCCCTGGGGGTCTTCACTTTCCCAGTCTACATCTGCCTGTGACTCCAGAAAGACGAACTGCAGTTTGGCCAAGGTACATCTCAGATGAGATCCCTCTGGGAAAAGCACGGGAATGCTTGGCTCTAGCAGTTAGGCGCTCTGGTGAGAGCGCCCCTAGTGCCATTTTGCCATCTGTGCCCTTGATGGTCCCCTTTGGTCTAAATCCAGGGCTCTAGACAGTCAAAGTCTACCTGCTGGGTGTCCACTCTCAAGCCCTAGGATTTCAATACTAAAAGGGATTAGAACCTTGGCTCAACATTTGGTCAACGCAATCCTTAAATGAGGAGGGCAGCTGGGAGACGGCAGCAGGGAATGAAAATGTGACTCCTATCTTGTTCCCAGCTGTGGGTCTGGCACTCTTCAACTTGCCAGTATGCTGGGAAACAACCCATCTCTCTCCCATGTTGGAGAATCCACACTTCATTCCTTCTAGGTCCTGCCTAAATGTTACCTCCCCCAGGGAGCTTCTCCAGATATTGCTTCTCCTCTCTTTCCCCGCCCCTTCCCCCCAAATGAAGTCTTCGCTTCTCAATTCCTTCCTGGTGCTGTCACTTGTTTTCTTTGGGGTAGATCTCGGGCAAGCATGTGTCACCTTCTGTGACTGCGGGGTTTCTTGACAACTCAATCAATGCATTACACCAAGGAGGTGTTTAGACAGCCCATATAAAAGGAATGACTAAGGGAAATCGGGTGAATCCCGTCTCCTCCAGTTGCAATAAGATTAGTTGCTTTATTTGGAAAACAATTAGAACTAGTACAGGAGTTAGCTGCCACCCACTAGGGAAGAGATCTCCATTTCCAAGCCGTCCTCTGGCTCGGTGGGGCCTGCACTGGGTCTGCATCGATTTCCCCTGGCCCTGAGAGGGAGGCTCAGCCCCAGCCTGGCCTCTCTGATGCCCACTCCCAAGATCCTGAGCTCCAAGTCCGAGCTGGGCAGGGCCGACTCTAGACACCCCACGGTTGGCTGAGTGATCTCTGGCAAGCACCTCGGCGTCCCTAAGTCTTGGTTTCCCATCTGAATGATGGCGATAACGACACATACCTGGGGTGGGCAGGCTAGATTAAAGGGGATCAAAGCCCAAGCCAGAGCAGGTTGCGCTCAGTTAGAATTCTTGTATTTTCTCCTCCTGCCTCTTTGGTTTCTTCCGTTTCCTTTTAGCTGCCTGAAGACCCAGCCCGACAGCGATGGGTGCCAGCCCTCGTCGCCCACCAGGGCAGCTTCTCTCTCGACTCGCGTGGGGGGCACCACCCCTCCTCGGTGCCTTGGAGCTGTCAGTCGCGGCTCCGCGGGGATCCCCAGGGCCTCAGACCTTGCGGCCAGCGGCACTGGAGTGTGGCGGGGCAGGGACCGGAGGCGACCAGAGCGGAACCCCGGATTTAGGCCGCCTGCTTTCCAGCCTCTGCAATGGCCACTGGGGTGCCCCTTCCATCCTGGTTAAATTCTCATTGTGACCCTCAGCCTCCTCCTAGGCGGGTTCTCCGCCGCTCAGGCCGGAAGAGGTCACTACTCCGGGCAGGGTGGACCCCCAGCTCCATCTCGGAGGAACTTTCGCCCGAAGCGAGCAGGAAGGGGTTAACCACGAGCCTCCCACCCTCACCTCGCAGCCCCCCGGTGCCGTGCCGGGCGAAGGCCGCCGCTTCCCTCCTGAGGTCTCATTAGGGAAACCCTCGCCGCTATTTTCAACGTTTCCTCAATCAAGTGCCTTTAAATAGAGCTGCACAAACAGATTGGCGGCAAGAGCGTAGATCTTGTCACGATGGAGACCAATCCAATATTTCAGCCTTGTTTGCTTTGCAATTACGGGTTGGCTTGTGGCTGCGGTGCCACTGGGGCAAATCTGCAGCCGCTGGCTCTCTCCTCTGCGCTCCGGGCGGGTGGAGGAAGCGACCCTCGGAGTCACTGCTGGGAGGAGAGCGGGGCGCGCGCTGGGGTTTGGGGACCCTCGGGGTCACTGCGGGGAGGAGAGGGGCGCGCGCTGGGGTTTGGGGACCCTCGGAGTCACTGCGGGGAGGAGGGGGGGCGCGCGCGCTGGGGTTTGGGGACCGCGGCAGGGGGCAGAGGGGCCTCGCTTGCACCCCAGGGCCGCTGGCACGCAGAGCTGTGTTGAAGGACACACTTTTCAGGCTCCTGACTGCCACTGAGCTACACGCAACAATAAAGTGCGTGATTCGCGTTTGGAAACCAGTGTCGTGTCCTTACCAGCTTCCTTTCTTGCCCCCCTTTCCCCTCTCCTCTACCTCCGTTTCATTTTTCTCCAGAGTATGTTGGCGGTTTGCTGGATTTCCCTTCGCCCTCGCTGTTCAACGGCTAGCATGATTTGTTACATTTTCCACAGCTGTTTATTCTAGTTTCACTTTTTGTACAAAGTCACTTTAAATCTGCTGCAGGAAGAATAAAGCTCCTAGCCCTCTGGATGGGATCCTGCAGGCGACGGGCTGTCCCCGACCCACTTTTGATTCTTTGGAGACGGCTCTTCTGTGTAAATCAGCCCCCGGGTACGTTCGCTCACTTCTAGGCCAGCCTAGTTTGTATTAGTAGCACAGTAGTGAACTCAGATCAGGTCGTAAGCCTTATATTTCACAGACAATTACATCTTGGCTGCTGTTGAACAAAACTGTAATATTTACTCTGCTCTATACCGAGGAGCACTTTTAAAGTAAAAGATACAAAACAAAACACAAATGCTATATTTCAAAAAGAAAATATGACAATAAATCTCTTTTTTATGGATTCTCTCTGCATAAATGGAAACAACACGATTTACATCCCTGGCACTCCCACCCCCTTTTCAGACACAGCAGAAGTTGTACAGATTCTGCCTTCTAACACATAATCTCCCTCTCTGGGGGGAGGCACTTGCATAGGCTACATTCTATTTCATTTCTAAGGTTTCAGGCCCCTCCCCGACCCATGTAATATGTAACAAGGGTTGTCAAATAATAAGGTTTTGAATGTGAAGTCTACTTCACACAAAAATTCAAGAATGTTGGGCAAGATGTGGGTAATTATGTTACAACTTCATATTACTTTCCAAATGAATACCCATTTTCTTCTCATGTCAACTTCTAGAAATGGGAAGCTGAGGCAGAGAAATATTTTTATGACACTCTGGAGTACATATCAAAATGTGCTTCTTTATTATTTGAGAATGTGTAAGGTATGGACCTAGATTTGTTTGCTGGTGGTCATAAAATAAATTCATAGCCATTGTGGCCAATAAGCAATCTCTTTCACGCTTTAAAAGTTCTTGGTTTATAATCCCACCTGGATTGTATTTTCACTATTCTGTATCACCCTCCTATTGCAATATTTTGGTTCTCAATATTATGTAAAACCTTAGAAATAATCATTTCCACAAAATTGTGCAATGACAAAGCCATGGAATATTTTGAATCCATATTGTCATGCATGCTCAGGTATATAGGTCTTACACAGTTTTGTAGCTAACCAATTGCTGTAGTATTTCAAGAAATAGGAAGCAGTCGCTACCAAGGATACCATTTCATAAGAATTCTATTTTTACGGAAAAAATTGGTCTGGGGCATTATTCAATGCAAAAAATTATAATATCACTTTCATGTATGTTAATCTGTTTAGTATTAAAACTGCTAACGTGTCTTAACCATGGACGTGTTTTGCCATACCACTTTCAAATGGGTGATCTGAAATAATTACACAGATTTTGATGTTAATCCCATGTTAAGTGAACAACTATGAAAATAATCTTAAAGCATTATTATTCTCATATAAATGCCAGCAAACACAATTGTAGAGAGAACATGATTACTTTTTATCTGACATTATCCCATAATGGTATGGCTACATTTATTTCTTTTAAAATTGGAGCAGTTTTCAATTACTTTTTAACAGAATTGTTTTCAACACAGCATTTTGCAGTGCCCATAAACCATAGCAAATTTGTACTGACCAATACATATTTTTCTACATTATTATTTATTAGCCTCTTTGCAAACTCACTAAAATGGAATAGTATTAAAAATATGAACATACAGAGAACAATTAGGTTCTACATATTTATTTAGGTAAACCAATGTTATTAAAATTAAAAACATGTGCCTGGCATATAAGTGCTTCTTTAGGAGTTCTTTTTTGGATTCCTAGTTATTATTTTTTAAACCAACTCAGATTTTCAAATATTGATTTTCTTCTCTGAATAGGCATGGCATTCTTTTAAACAGTAGCTCCTGGAATAATACCGTCTTTAGTATTTTAGACTTTCAAATAACAATTGGAATTGGATAAATGCTTTCAGCTGGGAGCACTTTCCTAATACCTTTGTAAGTAATGCGATTCTTTATTTGTGCTGGGTGACAAACAGACAGTGCCCTGGACAGACTGCTTACCCTCTGCAGAATTTACCAAAAAGTGCAGTTTTCCTATGAGATTGCTTGTGGTACATATAAACATGAAAAAAAAAATCAGAAAATGAGCAAGGAGTTTTCTAACTACAGGTTTGAAATGATGGCTTAAAAAGGAATTTAGAAAATAAGACTGGAGTAATACAGAAACAAAATCTAAAAAAGAAAGTTTGCTTAGACAGGAACTGGCTCTCTTTGTCTATAAACTAGAGGGTAAGTAACAAGTTGGATCCAAACGCATTGAATTGTTTTTGTTTGCTAGTTTATTTTCTTCCATTCAGTGGCTTTTACATTGTTTTTTACTGGAAGAAGAAATTCAACCAAGAAAATATATGTCAACTCTTTTATATGGGACAATATTAGCTGCTGTGATTTTTAATACTCGCATAAAATATAAGAATTTTTTTATTACTATAATTTTTTTTCTAAATGAATGCATAGTGTAACAATTGGTGTCAAAAAGCACTGATTTTTTTTTCAAATGGATTAAATTGGAATAATAAACTATATCCATGAGATGATTTCTGTGAAGTCTGACTTGCTGAGAAAAAAGTGAAAAAGCTTTTTCTGAAAGAAATATGGCAACTTAACTGTTATTAATCTAGACTGAATAAAACAGAAAACTGTCTCTTTACATTTCTAGTAATTTTTTCTGCCTTTCCAAACATTGTTAAGTTCTATGCAACTTGTGCTGTTCAAATAAAGATGATATCAGTAATAAAATTACAGAATCTAATCAAGTGACTATTTTTACTTTATTACAAAATTTATGTATTTAATTGGAATGTTGAATTGCTTAGTTTTTAGAACACTGAATTTTTCTTTTTTTAGACAGAGTGTTACTTAATGAAGTGCTTATAAAGATAAACACGATGGTTTATCAAAGGTAAAATAGTTATGGTAACAAGGTGGCATTTGAGTCAATGTGTTATGGACTCTTCTTTGACCTAGGTATTTATAAGGGGAACGTCTGAGAAGAGAAACCCAAGAGTCCTCAACTTACACAGCCAAGAATACACAACCATGTAGAAGAACCTGCCCTCAGAAGCATTTTTCTACTGACATTGCCATTCTTTTCCTTCATCTAGTGCCTCCATTTGCTGTATTTTACTAAAAAGTCATAGAATTAAGAGTGGCTGCTGCAACTCACTGGGCGTTTCTCTACCTAAAAACGTTAATATCACATGGTATTAATATAGCTACATTAATGATCGAAAGGTTCAGTCAGCTGTCCATATGATTTTTCTAATCACTGTTAACTATCTGAATATTTGGAAATAATTGTACCATGCACTCACTGACTTTTTCTCATTGCGTTGGGTGCTGGAAGTTTTAACATGTAATGTCAGACACAACTGAGTAAATAGTAAGCTGTATATATTTTATTGTATTGTTATTTATATTATGTCTGCTTTGTGTCAGAAAGGATTTAAAGCTATTGTTTTAAGAATTGGTATGCTACATTTTTCAAAATCTGTGTGTAAAAATCATTTCCATAAATATCATTATAATTTACTTTTTATGTATATTACAAAATCAGTTATGTGTTCTGGTAAATATTTTGATCCCAAGAGGAAGCAAGGTTATATGTAGAATGTGACAAATTTTAAAAATTAATTTTGTTGTAAAGAAATCTTCATAATGATATTCCATAAAGCTATTACTATGCATGGAAGGCAGCATAACATAGTGATTAACAGCAGGTCCTTGAAGTCAGAGGCACAGTCTCAACTTGACTACAAAAGTTATCAGCTGTGCGATATTGGGAAAGTAACCATTCTCTGCTTTAGTTACTATAGCTGTAAAAGGTGGATAATAATTGTAGATTCTGTCACGTTGCTGTGGTGAACACTTAGTGAGGCAACTCACATGAGGGGCTAGCATAGCGTAAGTGCTTAGTCATTGTCAGCTGTTCCCCCTGGCATAGCTCTCAATGTTAGAGTGGCATGATGCCACAGTTACCTTCTTGAGAGCCACTAAGCTTGGGAATGCTAGCAGCCCACAGCATTTTTGGAGATTTGCATGAGGAGCCTGCATTGGCTCCCAGCCCTCAGGGTTGACAGAGTGAAGGTAATGGCTTCCGGCTTTCGTTAGAGCTCCTGAAAGGTATGAGAAGATGGTTCTAGTGATGACAACCCACTGGTCTGTGACTGGAAATCTAGCTTAATGTCACCTTTGTCATTGGTGATGTAGTCTATGGGTGCCTGAAACAAACGTCTAGAGTGGAGGAAAATAACACCTTAAAGAAATAGGTACATGATTCCCCTACTGTTTTTATTATGTACCCCAACAGTAAAACATTTTAAGTATGTTTATTTGCAAATTATACATCTGTACATCTTTACTGGTATGTACATTACAAACCTGTGCCAAAAATAAGCTAAAAAGAGATAAGATTAAAAAGAAGAATTAGTCAGAAGGTTTAAACGTTTTAAGGTAAGATTCAGTATCATCAACAGTGGTTGTAAACCCACATTTCAAATAGTCTTGGTGGTTTAAGAATCCTCTGGTTGATTTACTTTTGGATTCATGTTGTCAGTGTTTCT